GTTGGGTCGTTGGTCTTCAGCGAGGACTCCACTACCGTTAGCTCTTAGGCAATACTTGCTTTTGTGGCTCCATGTTTCTTCTTGGCTTCTTCAAACATATTCAGTTTTTCAACCAGTGAAAAAACTGCGCCTTCGTGACACAATTGTGACAACATGTGTGAGCAAAGAAAGAAACCTTTTTTTTGGCACCAGGGTTAAACCTACAGCGGATAAAAAACGAAGCTTACTGATGTCGACTGGCAAAAAAATTCCCGCCAGAAGCTTTTCCACTCAAATGTAGAAGAAACCACAACTGCATTAAGCCTGTTTCACATTCGAGCGAATTTGCCCCAAGAGCAGAGCAGCAGCCATCGTACAAGCCCACAACAGGTTCCTAGAGCGTTTACTAGATGCTGCAATGAACATTGCCAGAGTTGGAAAAATTTGCTCGCATCTGATTAAAGGGGGAGCAGTGAAATGGGTGGCACGTGACGACAGGGATGGAGTTGGAGAGGGTGGACAAGCTGAGAACTCGCGCGGACTCGACAGTACAGGAAACACTGCCCATCAGAGCGGCGGGCATTGCGCAAGCGGTGCATGTGAAACAAACTTACATTCACACGTCCTGCTGCCGCTCATCACTGCGACCGCCGCCGCTCAGTCGCTCGCTTGTGGAACACGCTTTACGCTGCTTTCAAGGCTGCTCATAGGGTGAGGGGACAATGAATGAATGGCAGTGGAAAGGCAAAATGAACCAGTGTCTTGAGCGCTTAGCATGTGAGGAGGCAAGCACCTCTTGCTAGTGCGATGAAAGACACCTACCCAATTCCCTTTTGTTTGCCATTTGCTTCCCTCGCTTCGCAGCTGAATCATGGTCAAATGCGTAGGTACGGCGCAAAACGGCGTCCGAAAGTTGGGGTTTTTAATGCATTCTGTCTATCAGGCTTCACCGAAACCTGCCAAATTTGCTACACCTAGAATAAAGACAAATTTTTTAACACTTTGGCTGGAGGACTGGCCCTTCGTCAAAATATCTGTAATTTCAGGAGTAGCACAACATATAAGCACATTCAGATTGATTACACAGACCACGTCAAAATAAAAATCTTGAAAAGAAGTGCGACAATCAAAAACCAAAAACGAAAGATATTGCAAGGGTGCTGCATTACATCTTACTTATATGCAATCTATCGACAAGAAGCAACATGTTCAGAAATGTCATTGGCAGTACAAGCAGAAAGAATAATTGCATTTATTGATATAAAAAATTGATTCTAAATTTGCATGTTACACCGCAAATGTAGTCGAAAGACGATAATCTTGCATCTGGAGAGAGTGAACAAAACGTTTATTTGATATTCTGCACAAGAAAATCAGTGAACGGTATTCTGGAGGTGCTGCGTTAGAGTGCCTCGAGCGTGTAGCGGAGGCAAATAAGCGCATCGAGGCACGTTAGACACAAGCGCCATCTGGCAGTTATCTTCAAAAACGAAGGCATGTAGCCGGCGGAGAAAGGTGCGCGCCAGTCTTGGAGGTGATAAGGTGTAGAACGCAAAGCGACGGGCAGGTGCCACCACCGTGACGTCGTAGCAAAGCGTTGGAAACACCTTTTTGAGCATCGCGTTGCACTGTCAGTACAGCGCGATAAATGCTACATTCCTAAGAGTTACTTGTGTGTGCCTCTTTTAGTATAAAGGCAGACATACAAAACTTCGAAGTGGTGTAATGGCGCCACAGATATGTCCAATAATTGCTTTTTAATTGACAATCGCACAACTATGAATGCAATACCTTGAGCGAAATTGGTGGGCGCTGCAAATGGGGTTGGCCATTTGGTGGCGTTTGAGGTATCGTTAGGACGGGCAAACAAGGCAAATGTACAGACAGACAGACCAAAATTTTTCTGTCGAAGGTCCCCAAGAAAGACTATCGCCCTTAAAAGAGCTTTCCTACACCCTCATTCAAATCACACCACAGATTCTATGCAATTTGAAAATAAAAAATGACTCGAACTTCTTCTTTGCAATGTGTTCAAAAGCCAAAATTGAGAATTGTAGCAGTGACGAGACATGAGCCTTATGGTGTAAAACCAATATCTAATGGGTGTTTCGATCATCGCCAACATAACGCATCTAACAGAGAGTACACGTCATAGGTCAATGATTTCGACATGGCTACGTACTTACCGTTCTGGCTCTGTCTGTCTCTTTATATGCCTGCCCAAGCGACCCCTACCGCATGACATCAATGTAATCAATCGGCTAGCCTTTTGCTTGCAAGTAAAAAGATATATGCAGGTGTGAAAGGATGTGCATCCTTCACTGCTGTCTCAACGCTAAGCGTTAAGCATCAGACAGCACGGTGATGCAGTTTTACCTGATTGCAGTAGCTGCTCATTCCATCCAGACTTTTTAGATGGATGCACATCTTTTCATTCTTGTGTACTTCTGGCAATGTGTTATCACAAGATCAAGTAATACAAACTAGCCTTTGTAGCAGCCTTATTATCCAATGACCCTGTCATAACTAATCTGCATATAAATTAGATAAAGAATGTGAGAAAAACATGACAAGCTTTTTAACCTAACTCAATCTCTGTTACCAACACAATTATGAGGTGCTGTTTGAGACTTCACACTGCTGTAGATATCTTCAGGAATTAGCATGGTAGACTGAACCAAACATCCTTCTGTAAGATATAAAAAGTTTTGAATATTCCTTAGAAGTTTACATCAACAAACCATTTCTGCGATAATCAACTGTTATACCAGGGTTGCCAGCCACAGGGTTATTACCCTACTTCTAGGATGCATTTAAGAATTTTTTGGCCAGCATGGAGTGGTAGGGTGGTGATGTACAGTAATTTCAACATTTCGCTTGTTACTTATCTTAACTTTATATGTCACCAGCCCAGGGCAAAGACAAAAGATATGTCACAGGCCCTTGTGCTGAGTTTTTTGTTTTTCTGCTGGGGATATTTTTTTCCCTTTTCGTTGTCTCCCACTTATTCGTTGCGTGGGGAAGCTTCTAAATTATGTGACAGTTGTCAGCTTCAAAAATTAGGATGAAAGTCTCAGATGCCTATTATACATGAAAAGCGAGGGTTGGCGCATGCGACTGTTGCAAAGATATCATGATATAAGGTTGCCTTATGATCTCATCGTAGCATGGCATATCACCAGAATTTTATGTCATAGTGAAATGATTGTGACGTCACTGTGGCATCACAATGCATTGTCAAATAATGGTGTCATCAGATGTCATCATGGCATGGTCAAAGATGGGTTGATTCACAGTGTACTTCTGGAGGCAAAGGAAAGCCATGCATGGTGCATAAATCTTTCGGGTCAATCAATAATATCGGCTAAAAAGATCATCTTTGAGCCATCTCAGGGGAATGCATCAGGAACCATGCAAGCTGTTTTGATTAATGCTTCTTATTACCCCCGTCGTTCAGACAGCCTGTCGGAAAAATCTCCCCCAAAAAATCTGACCTGTCATCACCTGTGCTGAAGCAACTGGCTGTGCTTTTCTTGCCAAGAAGTATGCAAACAGCGTACATATATATATTGACAGTTCAACAAATCTCCATTGTTCGTCCGGTAAGTGGTTGTCCCCCCAAGAGCTATTACCATCAGCTTTAGAACTGGCCATCCCACGACTTCGACAGCTGCGGAATTAGCCGCTCTGCGCGCTGCACTTTGTTTCGTCACTCGGGAACCACTTCAGCAACAGTCGATCTTCACTCACTCCAAGGCAGCTCTACAATCTGTGCTGTCAGCACTACATCGCGAGTCATACGAACAACTCATATCAGGAATTTGATGTCTTCTTCATACAGCACATGAGAAAGGGCACCACGTGACGTTTCAGTGGCTTCCAAGTCATCGCGGCGTCATAGAAAACAAACACGTCGACGATGCTGGTCGGGCAGCTCTTGAAGGAACACAGGAAGATACCATACCACTTTCAAGGTCTGCCAGCAGTCTTCGAAGGCTTGCACTAGGGATCACGCTATCTGTGTAGTGCCTGCCTAGCAGCCTGACCAACCAGGCCAATCATCAACATAAAATGCATTCCTTGATGAAGATCCATGTGCCAACTGGACTCTACTGAAGTGATGCCACACTATTTTGTCGTGTATGGTTAGGTTGGTGTTCACAAAATCTTATTCCTTTCGTATTGGGATCGCCAACTATGCCTGTTGTTGCGAGGAGACGCTACGCCACATCCTGTTTGACTGACCAGTATATAATGTTCGGAGACAGTCATTGGCATCTTTTCTAGCATCGTCACAATAGGCGAATGTTTGTTGAATTTATTATTGAGAGGACATTGCAGTTGAAGGCGACCAAGGAACTCCTGAAGTTTATTTGAAAAACTATTCTGGACAAGCGGCTGTGACAGCAATGTCTTGTACCATGCGAGCTTGATGAACATGTGTTTGTGAGTGTTTGTGAGTGCATTTGTGAGTGCAAACTGCATGTTTGTGAGTGCGCTGTGTTACCTTTCTCTCTCTTTCCACTCTTTACATCCTTCAATCTCCCCCTTCTCGTCTACATGTGTAGGGTAGCGAATTGGCTTTCAGGAACTGACTAACCTCTCTACCTTTCCTTTTCTACCACTTCATCTTTCTTTTCATCTCTCATCAAAACTAACTTTATAAACACTGAAGTCACCACTAACCCGAGCACCCCAAAACGTCTGAACGTCATAGAGTGCACATGAACTGTTCCTTATTTTTCTTACACGGCCCTATTTTAGATGTAGGGTAAAATGAAGGGTAATAAATAAGTTGTGTGTAGGGTAATTATCCCCTTGGCATAGAGTATTTTTCCAAAATTGGATATCAACCCTGTGTGATACTCACATTATTGCTAGGGCTCAAGAGCTTTTTTCTCTAAGGCATTGCTGTGGCTTACGTACACAGAAAAAACGTATAGTTTTTTTTAGCTAACTGCTGCTAACACTTCACATGCGCACCAACAATTGGGGAAAAGCAAACACAAAGCATTACTCACTCAACTTCATGGGTGATCTTGTTTACGTAGATGCAATTGTTGTCGGCCTCCTGCTGGTAATCACAGTTGCGACACTGCACAAATTGGCCACACACCTGTCTTTATTCTCAAGGGACTTAAGTTTCAGTATGTTGGTATTCTATTTAGCTTTTTAGCACACAAATGGGCACATGGCATTAAAAATTTAGGCAAGTTTTATGCACTGCGGAAATGAATAATGTGCGAAGCAGTAAGAGTTGTGCAGCCTTATGACTAGATGTATCATTTTCAGCCAAGTGTTATGAGGTAGATAGGCATCCTAGAGTAAATTTAGCATATCGATTTCGAAATCAAGACTGTGAGCAAAGAAGATAAACAGCCACTGTTCCTCATGTAATAGTTTTTTCTGTGCCCATTGAAAACTCAACCAGTTTTCAATAAATTCACAAGTAGTATTTATGAATTCAAGTTTTGTATTGCAGCAAGAGTTGGCTGTACAGCCGCTCAGGCCACGCACAAAAATACACAGAACATTTTTTACAGAAAACACTCGGCAAGCAAACAGGGGCACCCAGCGCATTGTGCATTAACAACTATTTTCTGCAGGCTGTCCTAGCAAATCCACTCTGATGATCAATCTGCCGTGTATCGTGTCTTTATTTACAGCCAGTGCGAAGCTTTATGCGACAAGTCCTCATAAAGATATTAAAGCATGAGCAATATAAAATATTATACCATAGGGATAGAAGTTCTCTCGCAGAGTATGAATGTATAAAACAGCAATAAGCAAAGGGCATTTTTATGAAACTGCCACATGTCTCTCATGCCACCCTTTGTATAATTTAGGAAGGAAGAATATGGTGGACTGAGCTAAATGGAGAGCTAAGACTGGATTTTGCAATACAGACAAGAAGACACACGGTGGAAGAGACACACACATCAGGGCGTTTTTGCGTCTTGTGAATATTGCACGATTGAATTACCAATGAAGAATGCCAACCGTAATGCGTCACTGTTGAAAACAGATTTAAACATAGGGCTCCAAGACGAAAGAGCAGAAAGAGGTGTATGGAGCACATCCTGGTGTTCACTGATATTCTCCATGTGAAAAATACACCAAACACGTTCTGTGACCAGTCTGGTAGTTCTGAAACATGCTGTGACCGGGGTACTCAAAGACAAATGCGAGACTTTCGGTCCCTTTCAGTTGGAACAGCACATGGCTCACAATTAAACTGATTTATTAAAGAAGCTCAGATTATTAAAGAAGCTCAGACACGAGACGAATCAATTTTTGAAAACGAGTGGGTTGACTGGACGTAGATCTAAGATGGTAGGAATCCATTATGTACACAGGCTTTCACACAGAAGAAAAAAAAAAAAGGTAGCTGGAAGCTATGATGTAAGGTGGTGTTTTCGGCCAAAAACAAGATCGGAAGAGTGTGCACATTCATCATCCAGAAATGTGACAAAGTGAGCAGTATACACAAGAAATGCACATAAAACCCTTCGCTCGAGTTTGTTGAATGTGCACACAATGTGGTGTATTGTATCCTCTGAGGTGTGATTGTGTATATTTAGGGCAGACTGGCATATGGATTAACACGAGGCAAAGGGAGCATATGACGAGCCTGGAAGGTCGCCCTAATACACATTTAGCACTGCATTGCAAAGAGTGTGCATGTTCTCCTTGTTTTAAGAACACTACTTTAGAATATAAGCATTGGAACAGAACTTCAAGAGAAGTAATGGAAGCCTACCTCATTGACATGCTGAAAGATAAGTGTATTAGCCACCCTTCGGTTGCCTTACTAGCGAAATAAATTTCTCTCTTATCTGTCGTTCAATAAGCTTGTGGTCGTATGTTGTGATACGTGTGCAGTTCAGAAGTTTTTCGGTGACCAGATGGCGCAGATCTGAGGGATATTAAGTGAATTTTTTCGAAAAATAAGCCAGTTGTTAATTGTACCATGGTGTTCTCTTCTGTATCCCTGTGAGTGTGCACCGACATTTCAAGAGGGACATGTTCCAACTAAACTGCATTGCAGTTTTGCTTCAGTTTTCCTTGAAGAAGCCCATGTCAAAGGAAATCCTGCATGGGCAGCATTGTGTGTCAGTAGAAAAATTCCCATCAATGCAAAGAATAAAAATTTTCGTTTTAGCTACAGTCCAACCCAGGAAATCTACTGGGCAGCCAAGTGTCCTACCAGAGTTATGCAAGTCCTTGAAATTGCTTTGGAAAAAGACAGGTGACATGTCTTGAAAAGAGTCTTATTACCAGAAGCTATATTGTGCAGCAAAAGTAGAAAGTGTATCACGATGCGTAATGAGAGGGTTGTCTAAAGCTGCCCACCAGAAGAACAAAGGGCTCAGCCGTAATTCTCCGTCATCATGAGCCAGAGCATGAAGCAAGCAACGTAGGTGCTTGCATTGTTTTAGAAGTACACATCAGGTACTTTACCATACTGCAAAATGTTACAGTCGGCACTTTATGAGAATTTGCAAGAGCCAATATAAATTAGAAGGGCATCAACTTGGGAAAAGATATAACTGCGCTAAAGATGAGACACCAGAAATGAAGTGGACAGGACGATCACAGTTTGAACATTGAAGTGGACAGGGCTGCAATCGTCTTGTTTACTTATGAAGTCTTCGGCGCAGTTATATTTTTTTCAATTATGTCTTACCAACTAGTCCCCCAATGTCCACATCAACTTGGGCTTGTTGGTGTGTCATTACTCGTAAAGTGTTGTACGCATCACATGTAGAAAAGGCCACAGACATGAAGCACAGGCATTCCCTAACTCATGACATATTTGAAGTATGTATGCCAAGGAAGTGAGAAGGCAGTGCAAACGATTATGCTACTGCATTCTGCTTTTAAAGGAGATGCTCAGTGTCCACAAAGTGTTCATCCTGAACAGAGAAGCAAAGGAGGCTTACAGCAAAGGAGATAGAAGACACTGACAGAGCCCAATTTATATTGCGTCTCTAGCATGACCATGAGACGAGACAAAGACATTGATGAGGCCAGTGGTTCTGGAATTGTCAGACTATCAGTAGGAGTGTCGAGTAATATGATTTGTTGCCAGCTTGAGTGTCTACAGTGACTGTATTTATTTTGTACATTTCCTTATTTTCTGAGTGCTTCATAAATGTCTTGTGATGTAACACAACTCTTGGCCCGAATCCATCGCTCTGAACCACCCGCATTTATGACATTCATCAAGAAGTGAAGAGATGTCATGCACACAGGTAGATGCCGAAACAAAATTTAGAAGTGTTTTGCACAACACGATGAAGATTGTAGTAGCAACAACCAGGTTAGAAAAATCAATCAGCAACACAACATTGTGTAATTTAACATCCCAAAATCACCATATGATTATGAGAGACCCCGTAGCAGAGGGCTCCGGAAATTTCAACCATCTAGAATTCTTGGACATGCACCCAAATCTGAGCACATGGGCCTACAGCATTTTCACCTCCACCGAAAATGCAGCCGTCGAAGACTGGATTCAATTCCGCAATCTGCGGGTAAACAGCCGAGCACCTTAGCCACTAGACCACCTCTACACCACCGCGGTAGGGCGAAGCAACACAACAGTCACATTGAGAAAATGAGTGAGTACAGTGTAAAGAACTAAATGTTTGTTCGGTGGGAAAAAACAGCACAGACGAATTCATTGGCAAAACAGTACAACAGAGTGACAACGACTGAAATTTGACTACCCTTCTGGCACCACCTAATCAGAGGCTGCATCCTTAATTGAGAAATGATGTTTCTACAAGGAAAGTTGAGCATGGAGTCCCTTTTCTGAAGAAATGTCCTCGCAAGAAGATAAACTGACTCATACTTGTGAAGTAAAACTCAAACCTAGAAGGACTGAAGTGTTGCCATTATGTAGGTTGATGAAACCTATTCCAAAAGTTGCAAGTAAGGAGACTGACGTTACGTTATAATGGGTGGTAATGAATGGGAACGCACACCATAGTGCCTGAGACGAAAAGCATGAGGACGGAAACGAAGTAAAAAGAGGCAAGCACACAGCAGATTTGCGAAATCACTTGTGCTGTACGGGGAATGCAGATTAGTGCGTGCCCTGGGATTAAGCAACACAAAATAGAGCTCTGGATGTATAAATGCTAAAACTTTTCTCGTAAGCTTGTGTTCTTCAGGGTTTATTTAGTGTGGTATTTTGGCACAGGGGGTTGGCATCACTGGCACGCTCCGATGCGGTCGGCAGCGAGCTCTTTGCACAACATTAAAGGTGTTCACTGCTAAGCTTCGCCCTGTGAATCTCCAGCGACATGTGTGTGGCCACAGCTTGGTTTGTTGCGGAGATGACCATCAACGGACGTCCGTCAGAGATATGTGCCGATAAAAACGGACGAACTTACCGCGTAAAGTAGCACGCGGTTTTCCTTGTCCTCTTTCGGGTAGAGCATGTTGTTGCTGCGAATAAGAAATAAGACGGTTAAACACACGCGTTGGCTGAGCGACGGGCAAGGCTCTGCCTGAAGAGCAGGCAGTTGCTTTCAGAAAGTAACCGTGCCGGCGACCTGTCGCTGCGCTCTGGCAGTATGGATAACCACGAAGCAGCACAACGTAAACCCCTCGGTGACACAGGCGAAGTAGAGATACGAGACCTTGAAAGTGAAGCCTCACCATTCCTGACAGAACTTGATGCCCACAAAGCCGGGGCCCTCGTCAGCCGGCCCGTCGAAGTTAATGCCCATTTTTCCCTCGACGTTACGAGCAGTAGAATCCTTAGTGGGCAGGGTTGCTGTGAGCGGCTAAACTAAGTTAAAAGGGCACTAGCTGCTATGCAGAGTCCATACAACAACTAAGTCTGTGTATTACCTGGCCGCGTTTGCTGCCACCGGGTGGCACGAACCTTTTCGAGGCAAAAGCGTTCGGTTCACCCAATAGCCGCTTAAAACCGGCTTGACTTGGCTGAAAACGTATAAATAGACGGCGACAGAATCGCCGTGTTGGACATTTTCTGGGGGACGTTTAGGTGGTGGGAACGATTGGATTGGATTGGATAAACTTTTATTTGGTCCTCCAAAACACAGATCACCCAGAGCTGATCTGCCAAGGACGAGCTGCGGATTGCCGCCTCCCATCTGGCAGAGGTGATGTGCGATAAATGAGCAAATTTGGTGCACTGCCAGAGCATGTGTTCTAATGAAGCTATTTCCCCACAAGGTGGACAAAGATTACTTGGGTATAGGTCAGGGTACATTATATGTAACATTTTCAAAGTAGGGTACATCCGCGTTTGCAAAAGCCTTAATGTAAGTGCTTGGGGCCGGGTTAGATTTTTGTGAGGTGGAGGGAAAATCCTTCTAGACAGGTAGAAATGTTTAGTGAGCTCGTTATATGTTGTAAGAATTTCGCGGTTATCCCCTTCACCGGTAGAACGCATCCCCGGGGAGGCGCGGTTGGAGAGTTCTCGCGCCGCCTCGTGTGCTGCTTCGTTGAGATTGGGAGGGGAATCGTTGATTTGTCCAAGGTGAGCTGGGAACCAACTCAGAAGATGATGTGTTATGTTCTTGCCTTGCAGTATTTTCAGCGTTTGTTCACAGACCGTCCCCTTGGCGAACGCCCGTAGTGCTAGCTGCCATGGAATCACTGTAGACGACTTCAATGTTGGCAAAACAGACTTTAAGCGGGTAGAATTAACTAGAAGTAGGTTGTCTGATTAGTGGCTAAAGTCAAGGCACGAGTGAAAATTAAACCCTTCACTGCAAAGTATCAGTCCTCAACTTCACTATTTGAAGAAAAAAAAAGATAAATTCAGTGGTTAGTTCATTGAATATTAAGGCTAGGTAGCGTTAGCCGCCGCCCGATCTAAAGGGTACAGCCACTTCCATCCATCCATCCCTCCCTCATGCCATATACTCACGGAGGAAGGAAAGGATCTCTAGTGCGAACTTCCTAATCACGCCAATTCTCCACATGTCAGTCTCCATTTCCTTCACTTAAATTTCTTCTTAACCGATAGTTCTTCTTGGTTTGGCCACCTGCTGTTTTCTAAGTATTTACCAATTTCCTGGTTCGCTTCCTCCGTTTTGTATCGACATTCTTCGTGTACAAGTAGCTGCTGCGTTGCTTTGAGGCATGCACGTTTTAGCACATCCGGCGTCCCTTCGGCACGAAAAGAGGGAGGCGCAGTGTTGTCTGGGTAACGCATCGGCGGGAAATGCAGCATGTCGCATTTCGCGCCAGCTGCCGTCGGACGCTGGTCGCCCCGGTCGCGCCCGGCGTCAGACTATAGCGTGCTCGCGTTTTGCTAACGTAGCGCCGCTAGGCCCAGCGTGCGCGCGCGTCAACGCAACATTGGCGTATCTTTGGCCCTTTATGATGTGCTCGCGGCCGTTTAGCTAGCTCTACATTTACCAAATTTAGTGTTACGTGACGTCAATAGATGGCGAAAAAAATGACTGGTGCAAACATGATAATTGATCCTGACACGCGTGTCATGTAAGAACATGCATGGCAACATACCACGCTGATAGCGTGCTCGCGGCCGTTTCGCTAGCGCCGCATATACTAAATTTAATATCACGTGACGTGAATAGAAGGTACAAACGACACATTCAAACATGATAATCATGACACGGAAGTCATGTACGGCATCATTACCTCCACCTCGTAACGTTGTGCTGACTTTAAAGTGAGATATCAACATTTCTCAGTCGTGCTTCGCATATAATCGCTTCCCACTCTACATGGGATCTGCCAATATTTTTTATGGTTGTTTCTTCTTTTTTTTTTTTGCTGCACTGGGGAAATTCAACACCGGTGTTTTGTGCCATCTTCTGCAAGCGATGGCGCGCGCCGAATCAGGCGCTCGTTTGTGACACTCAGCCTCTTTTTGTGAGTGCGCGGCGTGCATATATATACTCTTTAGGGATTGTGTTACAGACACTTGTACAACATGACAGACAAGAGCAATGTGTACAAACAACGCTTCAGGCCTTACTCGCTTACAGCTAGAGGATCAGTACATGAAGTGGCTAATGGCAATGCCCCAGGACTCCTTCAAGGCCTTTGGCAAATTTTGCAAATGTTCCATCGAGGCAAAAAAAGCGAGCATTGAGAAGCACACCACGTCTGCAAAACACGTGGCATGTGTGCCAAGCAAGGGACTACACCAGCGCACTATATCTCATGCCATACCATAAGTAATAAAGCAACCCTTGGACTTTTTGTCACTGAGCACTGTGCCACAAACGCCATGGATCACCTCAGAAAAGCTTGCAAGCAGATTTTTCAAGACAGCGATGTCACCTCTAAGATCAAGATTAAGTTAACGTTAAGTTAAAGTGACAATAAAGATAAACAAGAAAATAGTTTAGACAGATAAATTACAGTCTGAAATCACCACTGTCAGTAATTTCATCGCCATAGAAGGTTAACTGACATAAAATCGGTCAGAAGACCCCCTTTTAAATGTCTTGTTGTTAGCTTTGATAATAAAGTCACGGATTTAAACGTGTTTCTTTCCTATTTTGATCACACAGTCGCAACGAAATTTCTTGAAACTTGCTTTGTTAAGCTTTAGGCTACCTGCCTATCCCAATGAAGAACCCCGCTCGCCGAGGGAATTAGTTGTTCCCTCAGTTTTTCGTGGTTGCCCAATTCGCTAAAAATAACAGTTTCTATTTTTCTACGATAATCTGGTGCATTCGCACCTCGTATTATGCGACCGCGTTAAAAAGCCTGCAATAATTATTGGGGTTAAAAGAGGTGTGCTTTGTTTTGTTGTTAAATCATGTTCTGCCTTCAAGAAAACGTAACGTGAGAGCTGTCTCTAATATTTGATATGACAAGGCCGCCGATAAATTTGTTGCATGCGATGAACATGCTGAAAAATGTTTTCAAAATCCTGGAAAAAATATTTAGGTATACTTTTAGCTGCTTGCTGCACTTTTTAGCTATTTTAGCGACTTTTACACAACCAACTGCCTACCTTTGCTCTCAAACACTTGGCAACAGTGTACACGGAAGCCAGCTTTTCGGTTCAAGCATAGGGTTCAAGCACGGTACATTAAGTCGCAAACATCATTCTAGAGGAGGCCAGGTGTTCTGTGAGGAGTCGTTGGCTAGTCCATGCATGGTGAAGCCGCAATCATGTCTCTCGGTCCTCTCAAGATCAATTCGGTGGCTTTGAACCGGCTGAAAGCGTAAGTTCCCTGAATGAATGACTTCGCCTTCCGATCGCAGGGCTTCACGATTCCAACTTGCCAAACAAAATGTTGGCAAGGCCATGTTAAAATGAACATCTGCGGGTTTGTAACCTATAGTAAAAATCAATCACTGCGCGCTCCACGTTACGAAAACCGGCTCTCGGTAGCGAATGCCACTATAACGAATATATTGATTTATTGATTGATTTCTATCTGGGGTTTAATGTACCAAAACCACCATGCGATATGAGGGACGCCGTTGTGGAGGGCCCCGGAAATTTCGACCACCTGGGGTTCGTTAACGTGCGCCCAAATCTGAGCACACGGGCCTACAGCATTCCCTCCTCCATCAATAATCCCGTGAGCCGCGTCCACTAGACCACCGCGGCTGGGGCCAGTATAGCGAATAGAAAAGCTATAGAATGGTATAGAACCAGTGCATCTGTCGTGAGTTTCATGCGAGCAAATCGTCAGCGTACGGTGCTAAAATGCGATGTGCATAATGCTTAGACGTAATTTCGCATAGACAACAGTGATTAGTAAGTGTGTGTACTTTCGTTGTGGCGTCGGTTATATGGCGGGTGCTGGGAGCTTCCCCGCTCGGCAGAAATTGTTCACTTTAGGAGTAGAGGGTCAGTGGTACATTCAGTTTTTAATGCAAGGGAAGAGTGCGTTAGACTGTTAGTGCGTGAAGCTCTGTCATCTGTATCTTAGATGCATCGTTTTGACACTCAAAACGCAACAACCTGGCAGAGCTGAGCATGTGTTTATGGCAAACGAGATTTGTGCAATTCTGCAGGAAGGGCCACGAAAGTCCGCCTGTTGGTTGGACAAAGCTCTCGATGGTTTGCTCAAAAATACAAAGTTGTGATGCACTCGTCAAAAGTGCCTCCTTGCTGCATCCTTCTTGCTGCGGCAACAGGACGCCCCCTCTATCAGTGCGAGCCGCTATCATGACCTACTGCACTTCTGACCTGCCGAGATGGCGGGGTTTGTATGAGAGCGGGAGTTGCCGCTCTCGTTCAATCGCTCATCGTTGGTGGCGCTACTTATCACGTGTTCATGTATCACGTGTTCATGATTGTTTTGACTGTGCTGCAGTAAGAACAGCTGCATACTGGGACGAACTGCCGGCATATATGACACTATTTCTTCTGATAAATGGCTATTCAGTGCGGTTAAGTATTTATTGCACACTGGTTGACAAATATGGGAAGCCGTAGACTTACATAGACATAGTGTAGGACAGCCTATGCGCTGTCGTGTCCAATTAATTGCAAATCATTTCTGAGTGAATTCAAGTATATTTATTTCCGAGTTATTTTGCATTTGTGCATAATAATTGCACAATATGAGTGCTCTGTTGGCCAAAATAGGACCACAAACGCTGAAGGTGATGTCAGCGAACAGGTGTTTACTAACGCCACGCTTCTCGTTGGTTACAGCCCCAGCGGCACAAGGTACGAATTAGATGTGAGTGCTGGAAAGGGGATATTTGGGCAATTCAAGAAAATAGTAGGTTGTGTGCACTATAGACCATTTTTAAGCAATCCCAGAACGCCTAGCGGGTGCTCCATGCAATATGGCAGAAGTGTGTACGTTGAACCGGTTGAGCACGTCGGCTGTTTTTCCATCGCCCGCTGCTCGTTGGCGCCGTGGGAATACCAAACGAAAAAAAAAGTGTTCTGATTGTTGATTATTATCACTGTACATGTACTGTACATATGTGCACCTGCATATACTTGCAATGCCCATGGGCTATAGGCGGCGCGCTGTGCAATCGAAGATGGCTGCGGGAAGAGGGTCAACCTGTGAATTCGCCAAGAAAAAGATAGGACACACGGACTTACACCCTGTGACTCTTTCACTGATAGCTCTTGGTTGTCAAATGAATGCATATCGGACTAAAGTGCTTTCCCAAACTATAGGACTGCTAAATATTCGCTGTCCTCATTTCTGGCCGCAGTGCGAAGGGTGGCTGGTATCAGCTGATCGACCGTGCGTCAGCAAGGCCTTGTGTAATCCTGTGTGTGCTATGTAAAACTGCACGAACTAGAATTTGACGTATGAACTGAATGGCATTACGAAATAATTTGTCCCGAGCCTGCCTGACGAACTTGCCACAGTAGTAGGGCCACTAGTGGGTAGTGCGCTGTCACGGCTGCACGGGACCTAATGTTTAACATAGGGATGGTAGGGATGGTTTGCAAACACATTACACCGTCGTCATTACTTGCGCTGTAAGCACCTTGGTGTTGCTTCAACTGGAACACAAGCATTTAACTTCTCATTAAGTAGCGCTTGTGTCACAGCCATGATCAGGCTCTAACAGTGCGCAATTTATTGCACTGGGATGGTGCAGGTTCCTCAGCGTAACCGCAACAAGGATATTAAAATAAATACACGGATATGCTTTTCGCAACGTCGAAATTGGGAAAATTCGTTGAACAACCACATCGTTCGAACGGTACTGGTGAAGTGTAGGAGAAGTTAGGAGAGAGGCGTGGACTGTTGTCATAACTCCATGTTTCATTGCTCTAACCATTTCGCTTCGCTGGTCGAGCTCGAGCGTGTTGGGCGACATGCAGCACTCCGTAATATCCACTGTAATTGGGCTACATGCAATGCGCAGAGAAAAACGATGTTCTTGTTTTGATGCTGCTGAAGGATATTATACAATAAATACAATCTAAATGACCTACGAGCTGTGAAAAAACATTAACGCACGAGGGGACGTGAAGTGCAACTTGCTGCTTATCAGTTAGCAGCTGATCGTTCATCGGCAGCTGTCACTCTTAGTGGGTTGTACGTCCAGGGAAAAATCCTCGACGTCAAGACGGTTTCTTTGAACATCGCTGCCTGAAAGTAATCTGAGGAATTCTCTCCGCCTGAACAGCTTCGATAACACCAACAACGTGTTTATTTATTCATGTACCCTGAAGGCCTGAGGGCATTACATGGGGGGAGGGGGAAGGTAATAGCAGAGTCCATCAATGCTTGTGATACATCGAATCAATACAAACACTAAAATAATAAAAGGTTTGAAAAACTGAATGTTATTGTGTAAAAATAAAGAACATTGAAATGTAATTAGAAAAAGTACATAGAAAGTAATTATAAGGACAAACTGCACTAAAAGGAAAAGAAGAACGAGGCTGAACATTTTTTCCGACTCAGTGCTAAAGTGACCGAGCTATACAGTAGCTAGAAATATCACGATGCACACAGGTAATAGGAAGTTACACAGGTTTGCTCGAGCATGAAGATGAAGTTTTAATTTGTCAGTGAATTCGTCGTGGCTTTTTGTACAAACAATATCCTTAGGCAGTTTATTTCATTAATAGCAAAAACCAGTGGGGAATATAAGAACAGGTTTGTACAGGCAAACAAAGGTTGTAGTTTGAATTCATGATCAAGGCGAAAGAATATTCGATGGGCAGGTTTAATAAAGATAGACATTGGGGAATCATTATGATAGAGATTGTGGAAGAGAGATTAAAAGCGAGAACAGTCTACATGACTGCAAAGACGGCAACTTTGGCCCCATTTTTATTTTATTTATGCTAGAAGTATGAGAGAAACCTTTGTTATGAATCCTACGCTTTTGTTTTGAAGGGACTCTTTTTTTTTTTATTTATGAGGTAAGTCTGGTGAGGGCTTCATATTTGGGAACCATAATCAAGTTTAGAGGGGACTAGTATATTGTTAGCTAAAAGTTTAGTAGCAGAACCGGTGAAATATAAGTTTCATCTCATGAATCCGGGTGTCTTATATGCGCTGCCAGTGATAGTGTCAATGTGTAGGTTTCTATGATAAGTCACTCGTTAAGTGTACTCCCAAATACTTGAAATTGAACACATTTTCAACTTGTTTCTCATTCAATGTGCAGAAATGAGTCATTGCATTTACTTTTGTAGTAAACGAAAGAACCTTTGTTTTGTTCATGTTGACTTCCATCTGCCAGTTTTGGCACCACTTAACATATTAAGGTCCCTCTGCAAGTTATTAGCATCTTCACTGTTAGTCACCTTTTTATATATCACCCAGTCACCTGCGACCAATTACTGTGGAAGTCGTAAAACTAGCTATATTATTAATGTAAATTATAAATGTAATCGGTCCCAGCTCAGATCCCTGAGGCATTCCCGATTTCACATGCGCTATTGGGAACTGTTTGTCGTCAACTACAACAGATTGGCATCAATTAGTTAGGAATTCTGATATTCAGTTGATTACGTGATTAAGTTAAGGCTGGTAAGCTTTTTCATTAGTCTGCCATGAGGAGCTTTACTAAAGGCTTTTTCAAAATCTACAAAAACGGCATCGATCTTGCATCTATCATGTACGTCAATGTGAATATCAGTAATTAACTCACTGTGTCTCACAAGATCGTTCGTGCAGGAAGCCGTGTTGGTTAGCAAAAAAGAAATCATTTTCCCCTAAGTAATTCATGGCTGCCGATGAAATAATATGCTCAAGCACTTTACTGCCAATACTAGTAAAAGAGATTGGTCTATAGGTATTTCGGTTAAAGCGGTCTCCGGATTTAAATAGAGGTATTATGTGGGCAAGCTTCCAATCGTCGGGTACACAGCTCACGTGTCACTCACCACTCACATCACCAACACGGCGTTATTCACGATGTTTATCTGGATGCGGAGAACATTTCGCTGCCAGACCCGGCAAGACGCAAATCGCTTGCAGTGTGCTGCCATCTGTCAAGGAACGTAAAAAATAAGCGGTGCAGTGTTGGCCAAGGTTTGGAAGAGCGAATCGTGAGCCTGCGCTACTGTCCACGTACTATTAATGTTATGGAATTCATGCACTACAAGAGCACTGACGAGTGCCGTACACAGGTAAAATAAGGTGAGTTTCAACAGCAAAGTTCAGGCAATAACAATTAGCTATACAATGTGGCTGCTGAAAATCTCACGAAGCTGATGTATACTCTGCAAGCTATAATAGAAAGTGCGAGTTGCCACATATTTTCACGGAAA